TTGGGAAGAAAGGAGGGAATCGGGATGGAATCGGGGAGGAAGGGGAAGCGAGGGAGTGAGCGATGGAGAAAAGAAGGAAGGGAAGGAGGAAAAAAGAAGGGAAGGAGGAGGGAAGGAATGAGAAAGGGAAGGAGAGAAAGAGAAGGAGAAGGAAGGAAGGAAGCTCTGGACCCTTGGAAGAGAGCTTTCGGTCCAGTGTAGACCAGAAGACGAGATCTCTGCCGGCCCCCTGGGGGCTCTTGGGCCCCATCCCATGCCCGCCACCCCGCCCCCCACTCCCCGGGGCCGCGAGTCTCACCAGATGTCGCTGGCCTTGGTCTGGGAGTACTGCTGATGCTTCTCGGGGCCGTCATGGCTGAAGTTGCAGCAGCAGTCCCAGCAGTAGTCCTTCCCGCAGTAGCAGCTGGGGCACTGGTCCCCGCAGCAGCCCCCGCCTTTCCCCCAGCAGCACCAGCAGCACCAGATCACGCCCCCCACGATGAGGGCGATGGACAACAGGGCGATGATGATGGAGCCCGCGATGATCCAGCCTCGGCTCCAACCTGCGGCAAAGGCACAAAAAAAAAACAACCCAGGGGTGGACAGTGGCCTTCGGAGAGCGCCAGGCTGGCTCCCTTGGGAGGGACGACTTGCTTAGCGGCTGTTTGAAGCCGCAGCGGCCCTGAGAAAAAGGGACTTGGGTTTTTCACCCTTACGACCGTTCGCTCAGTGTGTCGACTCAAAAATATTTCTCCGGTCTTTTAGAGTTGCCAGCAGAAAGGGAGTGAGGAGGGGGAGCAGTGCATTCCTTAGATGCTTCAGATAATTGCTAGGCAGCCGAAGCTGTTGGCACACAAGATTATTACTGGCGAGCATGATTATGATGACTCTTGGCTATGGATGTGTCCCGTTGGAGAATATACATCCAGGGGGTGGGAGGAAGACCAGGGTCAAGGGTGAAATGAATGACTGAAATGAATGAAACACCAGCATGTTTCACTCCTAATAAATCTCCTTTGAAGTCTGAGCGATGTGGCTAAAGACTCATGATGATTTGAACAGGGGTGGATGCCGGAGCCCTGACATAGTGGCTGTTTGAAGTTATAACAGCTTGAAGTTATATAAAAAGGGACTTAGGACCGGTTTTTTTTCCACACTTACGACCATTCCCTTAGTGGCTATTAGAAGCTGCGGCGGTCCTGAGAAAAAGGGACTTGGGTTTTTCACACTTACGACCGTTGCAGGCATCCCCATGGTCATGTGATCCAAATTCAGACCCTTGGCAAGTGACTCGTACTTATGACGGCTCGAGGTCCTGCCATCCCCTTTTGCGACCGTCTGACCAGTAAAGTCAACGGGGAAGCCAGATTCACTTAAGGACTCTGTTCCTAACTTAAATCCCACTGCAGGGATTCGCTTAACGACTGTGGCCAGAAAGGTCATAAAATGGGGCAAAAAACTGCCCTTAACTGTCTCACTTAGTGGCAGAAGTTTGGGGCTCAGTTGTGTTCATATCTAAGAGGCGAAGATGAGAGGCTCAAGCCCCTTTGTGAATCTCACGACAAACCAGATTCTTCAGCTTCGAAATGTTGGGGGCAACTTTATGGCTGGCTGGGGAATCCTGGGAGTTAAAGGTCCTCGACTTACGACCATCACAGAGCCCCAAATTTCCATGCCTAAGCAAGACTTTGTTAAGTGCTTTCCTGCCCCCCCATTTTGCCATCTTTTTGCCATGGTTGCTAAGCGAAACCACTGCCGTCGTTTAAACGAATCCTGCCATCGTTAAGCCCACTGGGCTTCCCCTATTGACTCTTCTCGTCGGGCGGTTACAATTGGCGACCACTGCGGGACACTGCCACCGTCATAAATGAGAGTCAGATGCCCAGCCGTTCCAAATCCTGATCCCGTGACCATTGGGGATGCTGCAACGGTCACGTGGATGTGTAAAAACCGGTCCTCAGTTGCTATTTTTCGGAGCCGCCGCGTCGTAACTTCAAACGGTCACTAAACAAAGGGTTTGTAAATGGAGGACACTTTTGAGCTGTTTGGGTCTCCAATCCCCAGGGTGGGAACACTTGAGTCTGCAAGGTTTTCCTGCACCCCGACTTGGCCTTTACCTCCTCCGAACTGAATTTCCACCGAACAATAAGCCGTGCCGACATTGTTGCCCACACTGCATTCGTAGATCCCCACGTGGTCATCGCACAGATCGCGGATCTGGAGATCCCCCGGAGTGAGGCCTGAAGGAGGGAGACAGAAGAGTTACAAGGAGCCAAGAGGTTGGATCTGGTTTGGGTTTAAAAAAATAAATCTTGGCCTTAAAGCGTGGCTCCTGAGCAAGTACAGATAAGTTTCCATCCATGCACAGAATGTTCATGCTGGTTGGGGGATTCTGGGAGTTGAAGTCCACCCATCTTAAAGAAACTGGATGGAGGATTCTGGGAGTTGAAGTCCACCCATCTTAAAGCATGCTGGTTGGGGGATTCTGGGAGTTGAAGTCCACTCTTCTGAAAGAAACTGGCTGGGGGATTCTGGGAGTTGAAGTCCACCCACCTTAAAGCATGCTGACTGGGGGATTCTGGGAGTTGAAGTCCACCCGTCTGAAAGAAACTGGCTGGGGGATTCTGGGAGTTGAAGTCCATCCCTCTTAAAGCATGCTGACTGGGGGATTCTGGGAGCTGAAGTCTACCCATCTTAAAGAAACTGGATGGAGGATTCTGGGAGTTGAAGTCCACCCATCTTAAAGCATGCTGGTTGGGGGATTCTGGGAGTTGAAGTCCATCTGTCTGAAGGAAACTGGATGGAGGATTCTGGGAGTTGAAGTCCATCCGTCTCAAAGCTGCCAAGGTTGACAGCCATTTTTGGCATCTTTTTTGTAACGTGATGACCAAAACTGGACGCGGTATTCCAGCTGTGGTCTTACTAAGGTTTTCTATCTAGTGACAGAGAGTTTCATAAGCTGGATGTCTATCTTCCCACCTTAGTTCTCCTTCTCTTTCCAACCACCCCAGAGGTGCAGCTGCAGAGGAAGGCCGACACTCACTTGCTGAGGGCATCCAATCGTGGTAATTTCCACCGGCCATGGACCAGTGGTAGCTGAGCGGCTGGCTCCCCGTGGAAGTGAAGCAACGAAGCGTGATGTCTTCCCCGTAAGCGACCTCGCCAATGATCCAACAGCGAGGAAGCGCTGGTTTTTCTGGGTAGGTCAGCAGAGAAAATAAATTACTATTTTTTTTCCCCTAATTGGGGGGTTTAGGATCCCTTTTGTAAATATGGCTGCCGCCCTTCCGTGCCTTTGCATCCTTTTGATGGGTATCAGATTGACCGAGTTGGAAGGGACCTTGTAGGTCATCTAGCCCAACCCCCTCCCCCCAAGCAGGAGACCTACACCATTTCTAACAGATGGCAGTCCAAGTCTCTTTGTCAACTGATAAAACATTCCTATGCCTGTTTTAGGAGTTGCCATTAAAAAAAAAGGGGGAGGGGGGAGAGGAAGGAAATCTGGAAGAGCAGTGCAACAAAGCGAAAGTACAACCTTGAATGGTTGGACTTAAGCGTAGCACACAAAATTATCTGCTACAACGTCCTACCAGTCAATGACTACTTCAGCTTCAACCGCAACAATACAAGAGCACACAAACTCAAAGTAAACCGCTCAAAACTCGATTGCAGAAAACACAACTTCAGCAACAGAGTGGTCAATGCCCGAAATGCACTACCTGACTCTGTTGTTACATCCTCTAACCCCCACTCCTTTAACCTCAAACTAACCACTATTGACCTCACCCCATTCCTAAGAGGTCTGTAAGGGGTGTGCATAAGTGCACCATCGTGCCTACTGTCCCTGTCCTATTGTCCCCATTTATTCGTACCTATTTCCTGTTTTCTTACTCAGGTTTATACTTATACCTATTATCTTGAAAGCGATTGACAAATCAAATAAATAAAAAATATATACATTCCAACCCTTGTCTTTAAAAGATTGTAACTAAAATACCAGAGATTTTGCCATGAATATATTTAATTGGAAAATGTGATTGATGACACCCAGCCTGTAATTGGAGAATGTGATTGACGACACCCAGCCCGTAATTGGAGAATGTGATTGACGACACCCAGCCCGTAATTGGAGAATGTGATTGATGACACCCAGCCCGTGAATGGGGCTCAATTGGAGAATCTGGTTGATGAGACAGCCAGGGAGGAAAATTGGGGGGGAGGGGGGGAGAAACAGGGTCACAGGGGACTGGAAATGACGTATGCCAGAGTTGGCTTCATACAGGGCAGGGCCAGTATGTCGCCTCTAATGAATCCTTTGAAGTTTTTTGAAGTTTGGCTTGAGAGTCATGATTTAATTAGGGCGATTGCTGGAATCCTGGCACTCCTCTTAAAAGCTTCCAGTGATGAAGATCGATAAACCTTCGCCGCCAGACACCCCATTCTCTTTGCAGTTGGAAAAACTGAGGTCCTCAACTGACAACCGGGATTTCCACGGTTAAACCAGGCAGCTGTTAAGCGGGTAGCGCCCGAGTTTAAGGTACCGGCGCAATTCGCTCAGGGACTGTATTTGAAAAAGCCATAAAAACCGGGCGTGATTCGCTCGGTGACCAAATGGCTTCGCCAGCCAGCGTTTTTAATGCCAACTGTGGTCTTGTCATCAAGAAGCACACACCCTGCCAGAAAACGATGGGATGGCAAAAGCTGTCGCATCATCACAACCCTTTTGTGTGTGGGTGTCAGCGCAATGAGGGCAGGGAGAAACCCGGCCCCAAAAGTCTCTCCACGCATGACTTATGATTCCATCAAGTCTGCTCTTTTTTCCTTCCCTTCCACACTAATCTTTATAAATGAGGACGAGGCAAAATGTTAATTAATGTTAATTCTCGCCAGCTTGGAAAGGGAGCCTGCCAGTGCTCTCAATGGGGTGGGAAGTAAGAGAAGCTGAGTAGTGAAGAGAAGGGACCAGGGGAGACAGGATGGCAATCTTCCAATATCTGAGGGGCTGCCCCAGAGAGGAGGAAGGGGGTCAAGCTATTTTCCAAAGCTCCCAAAGGCCAGACAAGGAAGAATGGATGGAAACTGAACAAGGAGAGATTCAACCTGGAAATAAGGAGAAACTTTCTGACACGGGGAACAATCCACCCATGGAACAGAAGTTGCCTTTGGAAGTTGTGGGAGCTTCATCCCTGGAGGCTTTCACGAAGACACTGGACTGTCATCTGTCAGAAATGGTGTAGGGTCTCCTGCTTGGGCATGGGGGGTGGACTAGATGACCTCCAAGGTCCCTTCCAGCTCTATTCTATTCTACCTTGAACAGTGATGGTCACTTTGCGAGTCGCTTCCGTGGTCTTCTTCACCGTGCATTCGTACGTGGCGGAATCGCTCATCTCCAAATCGCGGAGTTGCATGGAGGCATCGTAGAGGCTAGGATTGGAGGAGATGAACCCCACTCGTTTTTGGAGATCAGGGGGTCCCGGGTAGATGATACGGTGGTCATGATAGCCCAGGAGCTGGCGAAAAACCAGAGGAGAGAATGGAATGGAATGGAATGGAATGGAATAGAATTTATTGGCCAAGCGTGATTGGACACACAAGGAATTTCCCTTCGGTGCAGAAGCTCTCAGTGTATGTAAAAAACACCCTCATCATGAATCATCAGATACAACGTTTAGTGAGTTATAGGATACTAAATAAGCAATCAAAATCATACTAGGAAACTGAATAAAACAATATAATCATAAAGATACAGGCAGCAAGGTTATAGTCATAAGTAGGTAATAAGGAAGGGTGAGAAGAATAGCAATACAGTCTTGGCAAATAGTTTGACAGTGTTGTAGGAATTAGTTTTTTAGCAGAGTGATGGCAGAGAAGAAGGAAGGAAGGAAAGAAGGAAGGAAGAAAAATTGGAGAGAGAATAGAATAGAATAGAATGTAGAGGAGAATATAGAAGAGTAAAGAAGAGAATAGAATAGAAATAGAACAGAATATAGAAATAATAGAATAGAAATAGAATAGAATTGAAGGTAGAGGAGAATATAGAAGAGTAAAGAAGAGAAGAGAAATAGAAATAGAATAGAATATAGAGAATAGAAATAATAGAATAGAAATAGAATAGAATAGAATAGAATAGAATAGAATAGAATAGAATAGAATTAGAAAAGGATTAGAAAAGAATAGAATAGAATTCTTTATTGGCCAAATGTGATTGGATACACAAGGAATTTGTCTTCAGTGCTCACAGTGTACATAAAAATACATTCATAAAGAATGATAAGACACAACACTTAGTGATAGTCGTAGGATACTAAATAAGCAATCAAAACCATACTAGGAAACTAAATAAAACAATATATCTTTATACAGGCAACAAGGTTATAGTCATAAGTAGAAGGAGATAGGTAATAGGAAGGATGAGAAGGGGAATAGTAAGACAGCCTTAGCACATGGTTTGACAGTGTTGTGGGAATTAGTTTAGCAGAGTGATGGCAGAGAGGAAGGAAGGAAGGAAAGAGAGGGAAGGAAGGAAAGAAGGAAAATTGGAGAGAGAATGGAAAGGAGAAGAGGGAGGGAGGAAAGGAAGGAAAGAAGGAAAATTGGAGAGAGAATGGAAAGGAGAAGAGAGGGAAGAAAGGAAAATTGGAGAGAGAATGGAAAGGAGAATAGAATAGAATAGAATTCTTTATTGGCCAAGTGTGATTGGACACACAAGGAATTTGCCTTCAGTGCATAAGCTAATAATACTCATCACAGTTATATAGTCTTACTAAATAGCTTGACAGTGTTGTGGGAATTAGTTGTTTAGCAGAGTGATGGCATGTGGGGAAAATCTGTCCTTGCGCCTAGTTGTTCCAATGTGCAGTGAAAGGAAAGGCAGAGTGCTAGATGGGTTTGCCGATGAGGTGTCAAATTCCTAGTCCTCCTGAGTCAAAAAAGAAATTCCGGGCAACAGGTAATGCCTGATTAAACTTTCAGCAGCTAAGGTGTTTCCAGACGAATTCCCCAGGATTGAGACAGCTTGTAGTCCACCCATGTTTATCGCAAACCCCGAAAAGATAATTATCTAATTGAAATTGCAGATTACCAGATGCCAAGGAGAAGAGGCTGGAAATGCCACATTTGCCTATCTTCCCTCTCTTTGCGCTCTTTTAAAAATAAGACAAACACTGGTGCACACTTTGGTCTCGATCCCTTGCTTATCTCACCCCAAACCAAAG